TACCAGCCCATGAACGGAATGCCTTGGTCTAATCTACTCCTAGCAGTCTCAATTGTGTTCGGTAGCCTCAATGCATCTAAATGTCTTGGGTTTCTCAAACACCTGAAAGTGCCAGCCATTTTTTCATCAAATTTCAATATCATTCAATCAGCCTACATAATACCAGCAGTCCTTTTAACCTAGGATTTCCACGAAGCTGAGCAGTGCTGGACATGTATCGGGATAGGATTCTTATCTAGGTGGTGATGCAAGATGCGATTCTCCAGAAGACTTTTTCACAAAAAAATTACGATAAACTTCTATCGTACGAGAAATCTTTTGAGTTTATTCCTTTTCACGAAAATTTTTACAAGATTCTTAAATTTGTTAAATTTGTCGTAACTTAACGAGAGTCCTAGCAGTTACATAAGTATTTTAGAACCCATTTTATGGTAAAAATATAACCGCAAAAACCAAAATACACGTTTAATTGAATTTTTGTAAGGAACCCAAATTAGCATTTTATATTTTTATGCCCCCATATCGAAGATTCGGGGGTATATAGTTTTTACCCTTCCGTCCGTCTGTCTGTCTGTTTATCTGTTTGTCTTTTTGTCCGCAAAACTTTAACATTGCTCATAACTTTTGATTGGTTGGAGCAATGGCTTTCATATTTCACACGTCTATTCCCTTTGACAAGACATTTCTTTGTGTACCATCATATTTGACTGTTTGCCCTTGACATTGGAGTTTGACCCAGTTTTACAAAATTTTACCCAACATTAACCTAAGCCATAACTTTTGAACATTTAGTGGTAGTGCTTTCATACTTCACATGTGTCATTCTTAACACAAGACCTTCCTTTGGAGACAAACAACTTTGACCTTTTGACCTTGGAGTTTGACCTACTTTTGAAAAACTTTAACCTTGGTCATTACTTTTGAACAGTTGATGCTAGAGCTTTCATACTTCAAATGTTCAATCCTTGTGACCAGACCTTCCTTTTGGTACCATCTCATATTTGTCCTTTGACCTTGACCTTGGAGTTTAACCTACATTCGGAAAACTTTAACCTTTGCCATAACTTTTGAACAGATGGTATTAGGGCTTTCATACTTCATATATGTGATGCTTTGGACAATACTTTACTTTTGATACCAAAAACTTTTACCCTTTGACCTTGACCTTGGAGTTTGACTTACTTTTGAAAAAATCTAACCTTTTCCATATCTTTTCAATGGTTACTGCTAGGACTTTCATATTTCACAGGTATATTCCTCGGGACAAGACCTTACTTTGGATACCAACACATTTGATTTGCATTTGAGAAAGTTTAACCTTCGCTATAAGTTGCCATACGGGGGCAACAGTGTTTCACAAACACATCTTGTTTCACAATTATTGTCAACAAAGGAAATGGATATACTATTAAATATCTACGATGGCAATTTAACTTAAGATTTTCGTATGACCTACTTCGTTAGACTTGTGATTGTGACGTCATATTTCAAACTTCTTTGCTTCACAATCGATTGCATTCGATATTTGTTGTCAATAATGTTTGTTTTGCTGACAAGTGTTAAAAACTTATCTTTATTTTTATTTTCATCCACTTTCTTAAGGATAATAAGGTATAATATTGACATCGTTGCTAGAATTCTGTCGTAAATAACATCTTAAGTTTAAAATATTACGAAAGTGTTCGTTTAAAGCACTAAAGATTTGTCGTAAGAGATTCTGAAGTTAAAATCTTACGCAAAAACTTAAAATTGTTTGTGAAAAGGGCTACTGGTTTCTCAGCCAAGTTCGGATGGTACACCGTAATGGACTCAGAAAATGGAAATTTGTTGGACTTGTAAATATTTCAGGTACCTACTTGGTATATAAACTGTTCCTACTGGGGTTAAAATGAATAGCTAGGGAGATATCTGTTTTATATTGGGGTTTAAGTAAAGATTTAGGCTGTGTAATTTCTTTATGAAATATGTAGCGATAACTAACAGTATTTGAGCTCAAAAGTCAATTAAACATTACAAAAATACGAGCAGAGCAAGCACGGACCTCTAAGACATCAGAGGTGGGATCAGGTGTCATGGAGGAGTGAGCATTCCCTGCCGACCGGTCACACCGCCTTGTGCTCATATATAATATGATAATAATGAATTATAACTTGTGTGCCAATAACAACTATTAATAAAATCTTCACTACATTAAGGTGAATAAAATAAATAAAAAATTTATAGATATAAAGTTTTGTGTAAGCCTAACCTAATTCATACACTTGTACAGTCATTAATATAATGCTCTTTTTCACAATTTAAACAGTAACGAAGTTGCTGATTCAATTCCTGTAGAGTTAGAGGGCTCAAAGAGGGGACTGGGAAGAGGCAGGCATCAATGTCCAGGTCCTTGTTAGAGACAGGCATGGGGTGGTAAAAAAGTACATGATGACTGAGCATGTAGACAAGAAACACTACTTTAATGTGTGGTATTTTATGTAATTTTGATCCTTATCATGTAAACAATTTCCGAGATGAAAAAAGGAGAAGTTTTATTTGAAAATTATTTTCGTAATAATGATGAAAAGGTTGAGATATAAATATTTGTATTAGTAACATCATTATAACTTGTGTTGAAATTAAAGGGGATTACACAAGTTCCAAGTTTTAAAAGATTTATATGAAATACCTTTTATATAATTGATTACATGTAATTAAATATTTATATAGGTGTTTCAAAGAAACTGGAATCGGCGGCCAAGAAGCAAGACTGTAGGGACATCCGTCGCTGAGTGAAGAGTTCAGTCAACCATGCACTGTCACTGGGTGGTAGCCTCCAATTGGGATGATGGGCAAAAGAAAGAACAGAAATGGTCATCGCCGACAGATATATATGACAACTGTCAACGTGATCTGTTGAATGAGGACCGACAATTGCTTAGAGAAGGTAACTTTGATAAAAATAATTTTAATAAAAATTTTGATAAAAATAATTTTATGCATGTAATATACTGAACTAAAGTTGTCTTATGTTCAGTGCCCATAGATAACCAAGAATAATTATTGAAATATTACATGACTTCTTACTATTCTATGCAATTTTAAAGGTTCCAGGGCCCACAAGCTTTTCGGGGAAGAAGTCAAAAGCAAGTTCCTCGTGAATGACATTGGAAACTTATCTTCCCTGTTTCGAAGTGAACCAGCTTCGCATCAAAGACGCCACACTTTTTCTACCCTGCAATGCTGGCCAGGTAATTTTATAAAATTTCATATAGTATTTGAAGATTTAGCATTTTATTTCATACATCCCTGATGCAGTAAATTCATTAAGTAGTAATCACTATTTCTTTTTATTCTGTACAGACTGAGTGTGACAGTTCTACATTTCAGTAAGAATGGACAGCGTCCTCAGGCTGTTACCAGAGCTGGAGAGTTACAGTGGCTCGCCGGCAACTTCTAATACCGGGTATATCTTTTGTTTCTCAGAAAAAAGAAATATCTGGTTCTCATATTAACTCTTTAATTCATCAGTGCGGGACATAAGCACATACAAATCGTCAAATATCAATTACATGCATAAGCCTATCAAGACAAATTATTTTTTTATTTTTAAAGATAATAATGAAGAGAAAGAGGGATGACTCTTATTATTTAGTAGAATGATCAAAACCATGAAACGTTTCACGTTGACATTTCTTTGTGAAAAACAAAAGTTTTAAATGTCTACACTTCTATCTCGATTAGATGCCAAACATACCAATGTGTTACAGACCGAGAATAATGAATGAAGACTTAGAGCAGCAGAATGTGAGTAAAATGTCAAATTTAAAATATTGCAGAACCAATTGAAAACGGTCGGATTCCTTTTCTATGTTTTTCCTAATGCATTTGTTTTAGAGCGAGGTTCAATTCCTAAGCAAATAATGTTTAAACTGCTAAAAATCATGTTTAACTGCTAAAAATAATGTTTAGCTAAAAAAAAGATCCATTAATTTAATTAGAAAATTTCTTTTTTCTTCTTTTTCTATTGCAATATGACAAAGATATTCAAAATCATTGTGTGTTTACATAAATACCTTCACTGTGCAGTTTAACACAATATTAAATAATACGCAACAAAACCAAACAAACCATAAATTCTAAGTTTTTCTTACTGATTGCCAAAAAATATATATTCAGAAAAAAAATTAAGCAAAAAAAAAATTCTATGGCTAAAAAAGCACAATTGAAGGTATCGGCAAATTAAAAATTCAATCGCACAGTGAAAGTTGTAGCATCTCTCACGTTTTTTTTTAATTTTAACGCCCACCCACCCCCACCCACCGATTAATTGAATAATCAATAATCAGATGTATTTTTGAAAATAAAATCTTTATCTACTTGAAAACGTTATTCCTATTTCAGTAATGTTTTGTTGCATCTAGTGAGAACTCATTTTTAAGCGCATTTGTGGAAAATAGTACATGTATATGGCCAAAGTTTATAATAAAGTAATTTGTATACTTTTTCACTCCAAAACGACGTGGGTGGATTTGACATAAGTATGAATACTCACAACCAGCTTTTAAGTAAGATATTTACACAAGTCTAATAAATAATCAAATTTGAAGTAATACTAATCATAAATCTTGTAAAAATTTTGTAATAATCAAATTTTAAACATTACTTTACACCAATTTTGTAAAATTTCTGTCATATGCTTTAGGTAAAATTGTATGCAAATAGATATGAACACCATCCAAACTTCAAATCATACAAACGCTTTTATTACACAATTCCGATAATGATTTCTGATAATGATTAATTTGTATTTTTTAACTATGTACATTTCATGTATGATGGAAAATATAGATAACTCATAAGATCGCAAGTAAATGATTTCTGTATACCGCATTCAGTAAAGTGAAATGCATGTATTACAATGTGCATTTAAAAATTCGTCTATTTCGTACTCGATTTTTCCCAAAGATGAATAGAATATCAGTATTGAACAGAGTAGAATATTCACATAAAGATGTTGATAACACCACAAATTTTATCACGTATTTCTAACTCTGATAACTATGTTTTAGCAAACATCACAACTAGCTAGCAAAGGAAAAGGACACAAGTATGTTTGTTATAAATCATATCCACATTCTAGAGTCAGTGTGAATTCAAATGTCAAAAATGAAGACCTCGCTACTTTCGTTGACACGGATTCCAACAGATCCGTCTAGAAAGAAATGAATTCTGGGATCGTGAAGACAGATGAACTTGCCTGGACGCACATCTCCCCAAGTAAAATATGGATATGGATTATCGTAATCAAGGTAAAATCCAACATATATTTCAGCATTATTTCCATCCTAAAATATATTGATCGGATATATAAGATTAAAATATTAATAAACAACTTTGTGTAGTTTTAAAAGATTTTTCATATGATTTTGAATGATTTTTTTAATGTTAATTTGGTTTTAATATTTTTTTCTTCATTTTCCTCATGCAAATTCGTTTACAGAATAATGTTACTTACTTGGATATACACACAATGGCGCCCTCCATAGTGGTGATATCTAGAAATAAATCCCACGAAGGACACTCTTGCATTACCAAAGCTCAAAGGAAACTCATTGGGTATTTCTTCAATATCCTCGATAATATACTGCATGGGGAACTTCCGCTCCACGTAAAGTTTAGCTTTTCTTCTTAGGTCTTTTGTTGTTGACTTTCGCATAGAAAGATCGGCAGAATCTGTTCTAAACATCGTTGACGGTCCAAACTTCATGTCGTGTCCATTATCAAAAGGTGTAAAACTATTACGGCTTTGGATAGCTTGAGAAGACACTCTGTCTGATTTAGACTTTTTCAGCTGTTCCTTATATCCATCAGTCTTTATCACGTCAACAATGTCCTTATTCTTTTTGCATATGGTCATATGGTCGGGCCAATGTTGTCTTTGACACGATTTCGAACAATAATCGACAGCCAGGCAACGTCCACACTTCTTGAGTTTTCCTATAGTTCCACAGAACGCACATAATGCATTCGAAGCATGGTCAGTCGAATCGCTCAATGGCTGTTTACTAAGTTCATCAAAAGAGGAATCACTTTCTTCATCACTTATCACTGTCTCTCCAGCATTCTTCAGCTCATTACACTTTGATTTGTGGTTCGTTATCCAGTCCCTTTTCTGACACTCTCTGCTGCAGTAGTACACCAGGAGGCATCGTCCACACTTCTGCATTCCCTGCCTGTGAATTCCACAGTTTTTGCATCTGTTTTCCATTTTGATCTGACAAAAATTTGTTCATGAACGTTTAAAATGTTTTATTAAGGACATCTTTGATTAATCAAGTCAAAGCTCTGAATGTTTAACTTTGACTCTTCAAATTTTTACTCAAGTTTAAGTTTAATTCATTATACCCATGTAAAGGTTTAAGAATCTATCAAATGAACAAAATAGTCCTTGTGCATGCTTAACCACTACTAATGATCCTCTCAAAATTAATCTTCACTTGGAAGAGCAAAGCAGAGCACTTGCACCAAATATACAAAAATTGAAAGAAATGTCAAATTAGAGTTAATACCATAAGCTAAATTGTCAAATTCTGGAAAAAACTACGATATTAGATGGAAAATTAACACTTTGACGTAAAATGTGAAGATAAAAAAAATCAATTAATTATTTTTTCTTGTACATGTACTTTTTATTTATTCGAGAACTCAAAGTAAAATTACATCCAAATATAATTGTTTATTTTTATTTATCTTTAATATAAAAAGTAAAAATATCCTCATAATCTTATATTTGCTTAGATTGATCTTTTGTATGTTGTATAATTTTTCTATTGTAGGATTAAACTTTCTTTTTGAAAATTTTATCGATGTGTAAACTCTTGACATTTTACTCACAAACTGAATAAAAGTGCGAAGCAGTTTTATGTTAAGTTTGTGAGTAAAATGTCAAGAGTTTACACATCGATAAAATTTTCAAAAAGAACGTTTAATTCGTATAATTCCAATTACGAAGTTTTTAAAATTATTTCTCTTTGAAGCCTCCATACAATCCGTTATTTCTGTATACATCGTGGGATTACTTTATGTCACGATGTGGAAATGAAACGTAATCGAAATGAACATCGATAAAGTTTAACTTAAATTGTCAAAATATTCAATAAAACAAACTTATAAAAACTCTTCGAATATTGTTCAAATCAACGAATATTGTAAATACAAGTAGACCAGAAGAATTTGTCCTTGACCATGTTGACCATATGGAGAAATGATGTACAGTTTATTCATGAGGTTGCTCCCACGTGATTTACTTCTCATTAATATTCATAAGATCCTGCATAAACTCGAAATACTCCATTTCTTTAAATTTTTATATTAAAACCTTCAAAAACAGTTTGTTTTGTTTTTAAGCATCCGTCATAGTTATTTGGGCAGAATTTTGGGTTATTAACAGTTGACAACTCATGAAACCATCTTTTTTTGTTAATAAGTATGTCACACTGATTCAAGAAATTGCCGTTTTCAAATTAAAAAGGCGACCGTTATTCTTCATGAAATGATAAATTATCTGTATTTTATAAAAAAAAAAAACAAACAAACAAACAAAAAAAAAACACACAAAAAAAACAAACAAACAAACATTCGTCTGTACCTAGTAATCGGCGGAAGAACTCTGTCAACTTGCAATAAACACATACATTTAATCACCAAAAATGATAAAGACACCAAGTCTGTGCTCTTTCCTTCATTCAAACATTATACTCTCGCTTCGGAATTTCAAATCAAAAAGGCGGTCGCATCTTTCACTTTGGCATCAACAATATTGTTATTTCCGGTAGAAGATATTAAGAAAAATCTAAATATCGGCGGAAGAACTTTATCCGAAATAGTTGTATATAAAAATCTGCGGTTTTTGTTCGTTCTCTATATAAAACTTTATGGAATCTGTCGCCATTATAGCTCCAATATGGCCGATATGTAAATATAAAAGAATGAACACTATTTCTCCATATGCATTCACGATAAACGCTCTAAGATGAAAGTAGCATACCGACGACACTCTTGATTTGCTCTGGTTTGTGTAAAGACGGTACAGAATATAGAATGAAGAAATACAAATTTGATGCTAATATGGCAAGATTCTAAGGTACGTTTCTCTTTCCTATCAGCTACCGAGAACTGAGCTGATTAGGAACGACGACAATCATATGAGATTTAGGCCTAAATAAAAATTCACACTCGTGATCTGACAGTGACATAAATATAACATTCCCGTCGGTCAATCCTGTATCAGTATGTTGTCAGTATTGATTTTATTTAATTTAAAGTTTCTGTAATCGTTTAGCTAAAACAGACTAGAAGTAACGATTTGTCTTTTTTACAATAAAAGCTACATGTAGGCCAAGAAAGTAGTTCTGGTTGAGAGATTTATCGATGTGTAAACTTTTTCTTGAATTTGTTCTCGTCCAATCTAAACACAGGAAATCTATAAATAAAATTAAGATTGGAATTATTAATTAATAAACTATTTTCGTCACATTTCAAACTGCTAATATTATGAATGTATGAAATATATCTTTTGTTTAAAACTTGAAATAATTTCTGAAAGAGAAAGATAAAACTTTAAATGTTTAATTTGTTGTATTTGCTTTACATACATTAATCCTACCTCTTTCTCCTCTTATCCCCAGTAAAGTTATCGTAAAAAGAGTTACGCAATATTTATAAGAAACTAAAGAGAAAGTACCTATATGTATGTACAGAGAAAAAAGGGTACAGTTTTTTGAAAAGCGACCTGTTTACGAAAATCCTTAATAAAAAGAAAGTACCGTTAAACTGGTATATTGATCATACATAGCATAATTATCCGGACAGTTTTGAGTGATCTTCAGTGTACTTTCACTTTCACCCTAAATTCTTTTTAGTTAAATATAGAAATTATGTACTATGTTATTTTTGTTTCTTACAATTTATCACACATAGACAAAATAGACAATCCAGTTTTATTCACAAACTTGTGCTGAATATAAAGTTTGATTATCTGATAGCAGTAATATAAACATTGTTGCATTATCATGTTATCGAGAATAGTCCTTGTATATGTTTTATATAGAGTACCTTTGAACGAGTGTATCTTCAGATATCAGACGAGGGGGCTTGTCCCCCTCGTCTGATATCTGAAGATGCACGAGTTTAAAGGTACTCTATATGTTTTGTATCATTGTTCTCAGGTATTGATCTATGATCTATCAAATTTACGTTAATAGCACTTAATTCAACTACATATTCTCATGCACTGAATTAGCCATGATCTATCAAAATTTCATCATACCATCATACCATTTTATATAACCAATGAAGAAAGAGCACGTGATTCGAAAAGTAAAGCGCGCTGCATTTCTTGTACTTTCTACGTCGTCCATTCATATTCTGAACGCCATGGAAGAAGGTTATGCTTTCGCAATTCTTATGGACACGGAAACCGAAATTATGAAGGAAAATTCCTTAGATCAGTTAGGAAACCAGATGCAGGTTAAAGATTCTTTGGGAAGTATGACGTTTGATCTACGGGAACTAAAAATTAAACCTTTTATGGATTTCGATATAGGAGATATTTTAGACATGATGGAGACTGAGTTGAGTGCGCTAATTTCACCAGTCCCAAGGTCGAGACGATTGATTGATTGTATATTGTTTTACGTCCCATTTGAGAATTTTTCACTCAAATAGAGACGTCACCACATACCGGTGAAGGGCTTCAAATTTTGACCTTTCCTCGGCACTCAGGGCCATTGAGCAGTGAGGGATCTTTATCGTGCCAACGCCTGCCGTGACACGGGACCTCGGTTTTTAAGGTCTCATCCGAAGGACCCGCAACTTTCACTTCAAAGTGCCGAGCGCATGGCGAAGGAACAGTTGCTACCTATTTTTTTATCGACTTAGGTCTGTCGCGGCCGAGATTCGAACTCACGACCTCCCGATCACGGAGAGAGCGCTCTACCGACTGAGCTACCGTGAACGGTAGGTCGTGACGAAGACGAAAAATGAAAGGTTTGTACAAGTGTCCGATCATGAAATTCAGCGTTTGATAGACTCTCAGAATAAATCCATGTAACGTTCAAGCTAAGGAGTGGCGTGCTGCATGGGAAAATGTCAACTTTTGACCGAGATGAACAGCGATTCTCTTAATTACTGGATGCAGCGATTTGTGTTGGAATTAGAAAACAAGGAATATCCACCTCACCCCCTGTACTACATTGTACGTGGTTTGTTACGCTTCAAGTTTATGAGAGACGAAAAAATTCATTTATAAAAATGTGCTCGTGTGAATTTCGTTTTGGATTTTAAA